CTTCTTCTTATGCCCAGGGTAACAGGATAATATTAGCTGATAATTTAGCATAACAGATATCACTGGGGTTCACTCAGAGGGAGGGGCATGAATGTCTCCACTCATGGCGACAATTTCTACCCTAGCAGCAGAATTTGCAACTCAAGGAGAAGAAACAGGAAGTAGTTTAAGTTCAAGCCCACTGGATATCCTAGATTCGGAACAGAACTAAACGAGAGTTCAAATCGATGAAGCAGATCGTAGTGGGGTCACTTAATTTGTAGTCACCAAACTTCATAAAACTCTATTAATAACGATGAGCTCACTAGTACCTAGAATATTATATACTAATAAGTGATACTGATGAATTTAACTTTTTATAACTCACCAATGAATATACTTGGAGGCATTATAGAATCCATCACCTGAATCGCCAAAACTGATATTCACAGTTCGAATAGCAGGCAGATCTTGGCCGAAGATAAAGGGCAGGAAGGACCTCTTCAAGACGAGTTTGTTGGTACTCTTATCCATCAGTGACTGCAGTGAGACAGTGACAGACCGACTAGTTTTTAATTCAGCAGGCTGCGCTTTGACGTAACAGACTGACTTCCAGGTTGCATATGAGTTATTACTCAGGAAGATGGCAAAATCCTAAAAAATAGTCAAAAATCAATTGTTGAAGACTGTTCTGGAACTTAGAACACATCTCAAATCATAAGTGATTTCAATAAGGATTAAATCAAAGCAACTATAACCAACTTTCAAGCCAGTAATTTCCGGCGTTTATTGACAAATATCTAACATAAATTGGCCGTTGATGTCTCAAAAAAGACTCTTCAGGAACACTGATCGAAGAATGATGTCAAAGTTGAATTGTAGAAAACTGGTGTTTTAAAGACCCCCTCGAAAAATTTTGCTAGCATTGCATTAACTAAGACTAAATTCGTGAATGCGTTCCCACAAGGAAGTTGAAAGGTCAAATATGGGCCCAAGTCCATGGGGTTGAAAATGTGCTGGATTAGAAAAGAAACCGAATTTAGATAAAAATTTCCATGAGAAGTCATTCCTCCCATTAGCGAAAATCAGACATGGGAGAGAAAATGGCTGTGAAATCATGTCATTCGGTAAGACCAATGACAATTAATCATCGGTTAGGTTGTGTCTTGTAGAGTTGACCAAGGGGTGGCCGTCGTGAGTCAAACCTTACAAAGAGGCGAGTTGAAATCATTTGGTTGCAAAGCGATCTGGAGGATAAACAAGATGGCGGAGTAACAGCAAATACGTACGAATGCAATACCTCTCAAAGCCTACATGTGTCGGATTACGAGTTTGTTTACAGGTGCATGGACAGGACAGTGACCAAAGTTTATACCAAAAATCACATGATTGATCGTGATAGATGTGAACGAGTTTGGCATAAGAGGGACTCCAGGTTAGAACCGACTTGGAAAAAATTGACCTAGATGGTTTCAGAAAGTGACTCCACTGCCACTCAAAGGACTTGAAATTTATCTTTATCCACATAAGGTTAGACATGCATAGTTTAGCCAAATACTGCGTAAATTTGGAATATTTTGTGAAATGCATGATCACAAAATGCCTACATTGGCAAATCCTCAATCACAAAAAAAACCTACACACTCAGGCAACGTTGTGGCACTCCATTACCTAAAACCAAAAATCACTAACGAACAGTCGGAAAGTAGGGTCTTGACACATCCATAACAACAACAACAACCATCTCTCGGTTTCCCACGACTACTAAAATGTGGAATAATTTTAAAGAGTAACAGATCTTCCAATAATGATGCAGTAGTAACATTACACTGCATTGAATTCGAATGCTGAGCTACAAAGTAGCAAATCAAGATCACCAATCACGCAACCTGCTGGATCAAAGGACGAAAAGGCCGTGTGATAATCTACTTACTACTTTTTATCACACATTTCGTGTCAGGATAACACCTGAAGCTGAAACCGAGCGAATATGCTGAAACACGAAATGGTCAGAAAGGATTGTGCAATGTGTGGGTGGTTACAAGCTTGAACTGGTTCGAAAGGAGAAGATAAATGTTAGTGAATTTCAGTAAAATATGTAGTACGGCGTTGTGAAATAAGAACCTGGTCTTCACTGATTCAATACTCGCCTGTAGGAAAAACCTTAAATTAAGAGGTAAGCAAATGACCCGTTATACGAGCTTAAAACAAAAAACTATACAATGCTCGCCTCTATAACAAACCAAAAAATCATTTAGCTTTTAAAATTAGAGTGCATTTCCCGTACTGGCAGAGAAGAGTTGCATGTTAATTAGCTCAAATTTGCACATCTGAAGTGGTCGACCATTGCTCGCTACAAACCTCCACAAAAAGTTATCAGAACACTTTACAGTTTCTCAAGCGTAAAAATGCTCAGATCGACCTGAACACCCTCAAAAAAATCGACATACGAAACCAAAGGCTAGAGGTTGTAAGATAGACCCGAGAGGTTGAAGAAATTCCAGAAATGATATTACTGTTAAGAGAAAGTTCAACAAGTCAATAATAGTAATTGATTTATGGATACCATAGCCCCGGACACGATTTAAATCAGCATGACTCTTGACGTTACGAGTTCAAAGTATAGGGGGGGGGGGGGGGGGGGGGNGGGGGGGGGGGGGGGAACGTGCTTTTCAAACTAACCCCTCGTTTACGCCATTCAATGTCCCACTTTTAATTTGAAATTTGATCTACTTTAATAGAGAACCGAGTAAAGGGTAATAGAAGAGCGATTCAATGATACCTAAGCAGCCGAGTGTTTCACATTACAAACACTACCAAGTTAATAGGAAAACACATACATGACTATTTACTCAAGCAAATGGCTCGAAGACGAAAAAATATATCCGTAAAAATCAATCAAGTGATGAGAATGACCATCGAAACAAGTTAAAAAAATAGGCGTTCAATAGGATTAATGCATCATTGATAGTGCAAATAACATGGAATATTCTGCGAAATAAATAGTTATAAGCATTATTCGTCATTCGCAACTGAAGCAAGACTGAATGTCTCTGGTGCAATTAATAAAGGCAACATATGTCTTCAACAAGACGGGAAAGAAGTAAATGAGAGTACAAAAACCTTAGTATCAATGAGCTCCGGATAAAACTTAGAAGTATAATAATAACAAAAAATACAAAGAAACAATGACGAAAAAAGGTGTTTAAAAATGGCTTCCAAGTTTAATCTGAATGATACAGCTTAAAAATTTTAAACACCATTGATAAGAGGAATCAATGAAGGACGGCCATATTTGGTAATCAATTTCCAAATAGCATTTCACATTGAGTCGTAAAAGCATTCGGTCACAACAGTAAATATTTATAAATAAGCTCACTTTGAATGTACCGGGAGCAGGTTCATCATTAATCGATACTGCAGTTGAATTTGTAAATGAAGCATTCGGGGGTAGAGAGCTATTTGATGTCAGGGCCAACCCTAAGCCCCACCGAGTCCTAGCGAACTGGGCCTCCATTGTTTTTGCAACAGAAAGACGCTTCATGGTAACTTTGATTCGAACGGCCAATCCGCCTACTAAAACGACATGGGGAGCATCATGCAAATAGTGATCCCTTTCTGAAAATGTGAACTGAAAAAGATCATAACAGATTTAAAACTCGTAAACAATTCATTTTAATCAGAAATCATTTTCAAAAGAGCAAAACTAACCCGCAATTCTATGTAACCATGTGTGCCAAGTATATTTGCCGAAAGAGTATCATTGCATCTAAGACCTACAGACAGCAAACCTGAAGCATTCGGTTTGGGATCCCAGTCATTCAAATACCAAAAGCACTGATTGAGTGGTACCTTGCTAACACCATCGGTATACTTTGATAAATCGGCAACATCAAGTGTATCGTTGTATTTATACAACTAAATATTAGGAAAGAAATAATAAAAAATGATAGAAGAAGTATATAAAATTGATAAAGAAGACCCACATGAGTAAACAAAATTCCATAAAAAGAGCTATTCGTGAGAAATACCGCAGGTTGAGCAGAATCATCACTTAAAATGGCCGACCAATTAAATCGAATGGAAGAATTAGCTTCACTGGATGACATAATTACAGAAGGGACACTCCTAATTGAATTTGAATAAATAATAAAATGAGTAGAAAAACGGGGTCCTTGATATGAAACGGTTAAAACATTCATGTCCATTGTACAATTGTTACACCCTGGATTGCGATATGCCCTTAACTAAAGAAGTTCAGACAACAAATAATGAAATACTGTTTGCGGAGAAGCACGTGGAATGCATAACGAAATGACCGTTAGCAAGCCCAATGAAACCGCCCCCACCCCAAACATCATACCCTTCGAAAATTGTGCGAAGCGTTCTGACCCTATAAATGGAGACGTATTACATAATAAAACAATCAAAGTAAATATGATTAGTGTTAATTAATTTTTAAACTGATGATTTTATATTTAAAACTAATATTTAGCTTTCATATCAAGTGGTTGATTCATTTTTAGTTTTTTAAATTTGTTGCTGGAATTTTTGGTGCAACAGTGAGCTAGATGCAGATAATAAATTTTCTTAAATTAGCAAAAAATACGTGTTCTTTAGTTTCACTCTTATTTGGAGTCTTCGTTTCAAATTTGAGTTTGGAGTCCACAACATTACTAAGGCTGACAGATAGGATTGCATGCCTTAAAATATTCCGGAAGGAACAATCGCACAACCAATCGCTTACCCATAAATCGATGTATTAACAGGGACTCCCCAAACACCAAGGGATATATATCTATGCAGTAAAGTAATAATTCCGCTCCAAATTAGAATGCTTTTTCAGGAGGCTTACACAAGTCACTCCTGCCTTCTAATTTCTCGGAATGTAGCCTAGTCCATTTTGAAGAGACCTTATAATTTATTACTCCGATATAGGTTTGCTTGGAAGCATGCAGCTGGACAGACTATCAAGAGAATTTTTAAGGTGTTGTCAAAGGACTATTTTTTCAATATTTGCTATAGGTATCTATAATGAAGAATGTAAATTGATTATTAACTAATTAATCTTTGCAATTAAAGCATTTTGTAAATCCTGTGTTGGTAAATAAACTTGAGAGGAGTTTGGTATAGAGCCAATCAAGATGCTACCATTTTGTAACATTTCGAGATTTTTGTTTATCGTTTTAAATAATTGGGGACCTTGAGAAGGTGTTTAGAATTTGTAATAAATGATTTACTTACCTAAACTTCTTTGACATTTATTCAAAAGCAGGAATTTGACACTAATTTACAAGATTTTTAAATGTATCTTTAGATATTGTAGTAATTTTGGGCAAAAAATTTGATCAGTGATAACTTTCAGCACCTATTTTTTAAAATTTATAGCAAAGGGACTTCCGTTGGTCCAGCATGGAGCATTCCACTAACCACTGCTTTTCCCCAGAATTCCTTAAAATCGATTCACAGACTTTAATGTGCTATTAATAAAAGGAGCTTTGTTAAAAACTAGTTGCTGATGCCTAAATTTTATGAGCGCAATTTTCGTTGATTTAAGTTTTACAAGTACTGTTAAAATTACATTCTTTAATTATCATTAAAACCTGATAATAAGTCAATTGCGAATTGGCGGATTCTCTAATTGCATTGTAATTCAGCTAATCAAGTAGCAATAGTCAATGCAGGACTGTGGTCGCATACAACCTGTTCTCGCAAACATTTATTGGGATGTGGAAATGTTGAGCTACAGCCGAAACCCTGGGGCAACTAAATCCCCATTCTTGAACACTTGTAGGTAGAAGTCTGGAGAACAATTGAGATTTAATTACCTTAGTTCATGGTGTTTTCCTGAACAGAAAAGTGGTATTTAAAAAATATACCTATCAAAATATCCCAAAAACAGAATAGACCACCGTAATGAAGTTGAAAACCACTTGAAAAATAGGAATTTTACCCAAATGGTACATTAAGAAGCATTTTACTATCCTGACGCAGCAAATGGTTCAGCCAACGCACGATCTTAAGCATATGATCAAATCGGTGTACGCCACCTGAATTGAATGAGATTAGGAAATTGCAAGGAAATCCGAACACTGGCTATTTCAAACCTAAATCCACAATCGTTTGCACTCATTCGGCTGGACACTATCAAGCATCGGATGAAATGAAACTCCTAATAATAAAATGGAACTAATCATAGTAGAACCAGGGATAATATCTTCGTCTCAGGGCTACAATATTCCAGTTTGTCTTCCTTTTCCACTACCATCATCTAACATCGATGACTGGAAATGCACGGATAAGGGTTGGAGATATTTAATTCATTGTAAGTATATTTAATTCAATAAAATCGAATTTATCCATATAATAATTAATTAATGTATATCAGGTAGAACTATGGCGTAAGAGGAGGTGGAATTTCAAGTGGTATTATCGGTGGAATTTGTCTTTTGACAACTCTTTTGCTGCGTCTCTTTGGGATCTGGTAAAGCCTCCAGCGTTGTGTCATTTTCAGGCAAATTTCCATATGATTGCGCCACCTGAAATAATGAAAAAGTATTGAAAAAATAAAGCGTTATTTCAAGGAATAACTTTTAAATTGGCATATATGCACATTGACCACAGAAAGGCAAGAATATATTTTTTTTCAATGTATGAAAGGTTTGAATTTAGGTGACAGTAGAGTAGACCGAAGAAGCTAATGAATGGAAATCAATCAGAAACGGAGGAGAAAGTCAGGCCATCTTTTCTAACTTAATCAGTTGCCATTTGTGTGCACACAGCTCTTCTATGTTGTGGTGCTGCAGTAGGATACAGTTCACTCAGGCATTGAAAGAGAAGGCAAAGTAGCAAGACAACTATTCGATATCGCTTTATTGACCACTTAACAGGACTCTTTATTAGTGAATTTCAACAAGGGCTCACCAAATAAGTACGGTCAATATTCTAGACTAACTGTTCAGGTACTGGAGCCGGCATGCACCTGCTGAGTAATTTGAGAGGCCAACCACGAGTGAATTGGTTATAAATCGGAAATACTTGAGCTGCGTATCGCTATGTTGATGGCTGGTTATCAGTATCAAGGATCTAGAAAAATTGATCTTTGGATTTAGGTTGTATGGCTTTCAGATCTTGTGCATAGCCCACTGTTTCTGAGGGAATTCAAATCCACTGAGACCAGATCCTTGTGACCAGTTGACTGTTGTAGGCCATTGGTAATCACATTACAAGCAAACTTTTCCCTATGAAATTTCAAGATTCTAGTTAGTGAAAAGAGTTGGTTTGTCTTTAACTTATTGGAGAGCTCGCTCGACTGCGTAGCAAAGTAGTGTAAAATGAAATGTCCTGAGGAAGGAGAGGGAATAGATCCTTACAACTAAGTCATTTTAAGGCTTTCTGTTGTTAAAGTAATTAAACTTAGTGATTTTCCTATGAATTTAAAAGGTTAGTGAAATAATGGTAATAATAATAATGATAGCAAAATGGGGTGTGTAATAGACTTACCTCCACGTGGTGCACCATGGGTAACGTATACTCATACGGCAAAAAAGTCTATTAACCGGCAGTTGACTTCTGACTTCAAACTACCAAGGCCCGACTCCTTGCCATATTCGACCCCTTTCACAATACACATCTTACCTTTTTCTATACCTTTGTGTCTGTCTGCCTCTTTACATCTGTAAATCGCTCTTCTGATCCCCACCCCTCGACTTTCTGCTACTTTGATGAACCTTCCCTTTGTGGAGCCTGAAATCAGCTAATGATAGCTATCAAAACGCCTGCCATTCGAAATAAATAAATGATAGCAAAATTAGGGCAGTAAAGTGCTTTAAATTGAGACAATTTATCAGAGCATAATGAAATATGAGGACAAGTGGATTCGAGATATTAAGAAAAGGTATTAAAAATCTTTAAGCTCTTTGTTGCTTCTCTTAACCATATTAAGCCAACAGTAAGGACGTAGTTTTTTGTCTTGTCACAGGTTATTCAACGCCATCCACCACATCTTCCATCACTCGAGTGCTTAATTACCTGGCGATGGAACTGCTCTCAACCTAATTCTCCAATTCTCATGAGCATAACCTATGCAGAAGCCTTTGCATTCAGTCTTAGCTTTCTCTCTGCCTGTGTCAGCTGCAGATTAGCAGTGAATGAAAACTACTTACTCTGTTTATTGAAAAAATTTAAATAAGTGGAGGGGGAGGGGGGAAGGTTGAAGATTTAAAGGAAAAGAAAGCAACATAGACGAGAAGCTTTCAGGACAATAACGCAATATGAAAATGGTTAGTCCTCCACTGTCTAAATAGTGTCTTCGATCAAACCTTTGAATAAAACAGACAGGAAAATTGAGCTAGCTTTTCTCTTATGGTCAAAATAAATTGAAATTTCAATTCTGAAATAAGACCCGAATAAGTCCTTTGACAATTTTCTTAAAGGTTGATGGGAAATGCACTTGCAATTGAAAAAATACTGTAAGCGCATGAAATTTATTGCTGTCTCAAAGCCCGTTGGAGAAATTGCCATCACAGGCGTCATGTAATCGCGTGAGGATTTTAGTTCAACTCTATTGAGAATTCTCCTTAAAATTTTTATGAAAATTTCTTCGTCACAAAGTAGACTAGTGTCGTGATTTGGGAACGCAAATGTAAAAAAATCATTCTTAAGATATTCCGCACTGAAATAATGCTTTCCCTGTCTTAGGAACTATAGTATTACGCTTACCCCCCCCCCCCCCATAACCAAACGAGTAACATGCAGTGAATTTTGCATTATCGGAAAAGGTAGATAGATAGGCAAATGGAGAGATCGTATACTGCAAAAGCCGCTTCCCTGTGCTAAGTTCGGTAGAACGATACCACAGTGAACTGATAACCAGGCATAACCAATGAGGTTGGTTGCTTCACTTAGTGAATGTGCACCAAAGCACTGACCTCACATATCGATCATCTAATTAGTAACTTGAAGCCTAATTATTAAATATCGCCAGGTGTGTTACGTTTGTGCTTAACTAGGAAACTGGAACCGTATCAGTATCACCATCCCTATATTGATTTTTGAACATTTCATTGACGTGCTACCTCGTTTCTGATTGGCAGTCACGTAGTTTCTTAAAAGTTGAAAATCTTTCTTGCCCAAAATAGCTCAAATAACGTTCCGTGTAAAGCCACCGATCTAGTGTGTTGTAAAACAGTGAGCATATCAGTACTGAATAAACCCTAAAATTCGACCATTGAAGTATAGGAAGATAGAGTAGTCTGCTACCAAAACTGGAACCACGGATCAAATGTGTATAACTTTTAGTGATTCCCATAGTCTGACGCTGTAGTCCCATAAAAAAAATTTGAACAAATTTTACCTTGTCGGAAGCAATAGCTAGATGGTACTTATGTAGAAAGGAATTAAAACCTACAGTCAGGCTATTCGAGACAAGCTCATTTTGTCCTTGTTCTGGAATTGAGCCGAACATTGAGTAACTGGGACGTCGAGAAAAGTCCCACATAGTATTCGGATCTGGTGAAACAATCAGTGACTGTGGCCTTCTTCGAGGTCGGTCCAAAACACTGTTACCATTCATGAAGACGGGGTAATCCTGGTTGTACCAAGATTGCGTCATCTGATGAAGATTACTTCGGGTTAGTTGAGGATATTTCCCACCAAGGGGTGATATGACTGGAAGACGTTTCTGCACACGACTATTGCGATTAAGAATGGATTGTAGTAGATTTGGCATTCCCGAAAGCACAATGCTTATTACTCCACCCGCTACTGCAAGTACGAAGGCCCAACCGATTTCACAGCGTCCTATGAAAAAAGAACATATGTGATATTTCAGTAACTCTAAGAAGCTTATTAACTAATTTGAAATGAACATGCCCAATTTGAATGTTCCACTTCCTTCTCCACAAATCTGCTTAATCTCCGAATTTTCGGACCATCCAAATGGGTACATCAAACAGGAAGTGAGGCAAAGAGATCCTAAGACAAAAGGCGTTTAATTAAAAATATAAATAAAGAACAATTTGCAATTATTAAAGTAATGACTGAAAGTCTGTTTATTGATTAGATAATGTCACTCAAATGACTCAATTCAGATAATAGAGGTAGCTGCCATGATGTTGAAATGAGGCGATAAATAAATAAATAAAGTCACTATAAGTGAACAGCACTCTCGAACAAGACAAAATTGAATAGATACGTGTAATTAAACGAATATCCAATTCAATTTGGAAGAGCGAACACAAGCATTTCCTTGGAAAGCTCTGTTTTTTTCAAATAATTAGCATTATTTACGCTTAATAGAACTCGCAGGTTGGTGAATCTCAATAAGAATTTAAAAGCCGAGAAAAAAGACCCACATCTATGGGGGTTAGAATGGATATCTTTTAAATTTTTTTAAACTTTCACAAACTACTGCTTTGAAATACAATGTAATAATTTGTGTTAAGTTACACAAAAATACGCCTCCTCTTTAATTTCCCGCTTGCGCTTCGCCACGAAAGATGCCCATAAATACACCCCACTAGTCTGACAAGAACTCATTAAATTATAAGCCAACACACTGTAGTAATGGCGCTAATTTTTGCCACAAAACGAGGCAAGCGTTGCAAAAGTGTTGCCTTAAAATGGTACTAATTGTCAAAAGTTTACCTTGAACACGACCGTGATGAAAAGTGTTCACTATAGTCCTTTGAGGGCGAGAGAGAGAGAGAGAATGATCAATTTTGAAAGTTATTTTTAAAGAAAATACAATTAACTTGAGTCATCTGCAAAGAACCCCAATTACACAAAAAAATGTGTCAAACCAAAAGTAAGATATTAACTCTAGAAATAAGAGGCTTTGTGTCATTACACTATATAAGATCATTTTGCTGTTTGGTATCTGAAATAAAAATAAACAGCAACATCAATTCGGTCGTCTGAAATTGGACGAATTTGAACTGAATTTTAATTTAAAATTAAGTTCCCGCCAAATGTCCTCAAAGTTCTCAAGACTGGTTTCCTTAGCATAGCCGGAAGCATGCAGACGTCTTAATTTCATAAAAAAACAAAAGTGAAAATAGTGACTTAAAAGTTATGCCCTTTCTGATCAAATCTTGTCTCTGTAAAAAAGCCCTGTTATTAAAGTGACTAAAAGTTGGGAATAATGCATTTTCAGCTAATTACTTCATGGAAGAGATTGGCAGTATCCTTTTCTCACCAAATCTCTGTGGAGAAATTCTATGCATTACTTTTTTTTGTTTTAAATACTACAAATTATTCATGCTTAGTTATTGATCTGCATTTAGTTTCAAATAAAGAAGCAAATTAAATTCACTTACTTACTTAGAGACTTCGATTGGCTCGGAAATAGGAAACAAAAAAATTGTTTGAAAGCATAATGGTAATGCCTGATTTCGGTGCGTTGCCAACGTTAATTGCATGATAGCAGTGAGTAACCTTCTTGACCAAAACGATTTTCACACAAAACATTACAATTAAGATTCGCTATATCATGTGAAATGATTGATTCACCTTATCGTTTTTTGAAACGAAACAGAATGTGGCTGTAGAAAGTAGTAGGTAAGTTGATTTCATAATATGCACTTTAAAAAGTTACTAAAACATTGTCATAGGGCCAAACAAAAGAATAAGCTGAATACTTTTTCATAGCGGCTGTAGGTGGATTCACAACACTTTCTTGCCATCACGCATAAAAGGTACAAATATATTAGTGCCCTGAAATTATGTAATACTCTGCCAGCCTGCCCAATGGACTAGGCCATTATTCTAAGATATCATAAGAAGAATTCCTACGAATAAAAAAAACCTGGCAGGAACCCACATCATCAATCAAATATTGATTTATCTATTTATCTCAAAAGGCAGGCGTTTTGAAAATTATCATTAGCCCTTTAGCTGACTTCGGGCTTCACAGAGGGGAAGGAACATCAAAGTGACAAAAGTCGAGAGGGGGGATTATAGAAGAGTGTTTCAAAGATTTAAAAGGGACAGACACAAGGGCAGAAAAATGTCGATGTGAGTAGTGTGGAAGGGGTCGAATATGACATACAGTGAGGTGATGGTAGTTTGAAGTCAAAAGTCAACTGCCGGTTAACAGACCTTTTAGCCGTATGAGTATACGTTGCCCAGGGTGCACCAAGTGGAGGTAAGTCTCTCGCGCACCCCTTATCAGTCAAATATTATGCCAAATGAAATATTTAAGGTTAGAAAAGCAATAAGTATAAAATATTTCTCAATTAATTTATCAGACACAAATACTTCAAACGGTTTGATCCTACTCAACCATTTGAGTAAGTGACTATTTGCATTGAGCTTGAATGCTGAGTTGCTGAATAAGCGAAATGCGCTCAGAGAAAATGCCGAAAATTAAACACCACTTAACGCGATGTAATGACTTGAGTAGATGCGCGCAATTATTTTCTCTTAAAACTTTAAGTCATGTACAAAAAGTACGAACATCTACGTAACTGAAAGTGCTTTCGTAGGAAATGTACAAACTGATAACAAATTAAAAATTTGTTCAATTGCCACAACCCATTTCCTCCTGTAGACGTGTAATAATGAACTATTGCCGTTTACTTAACAAAGTTCAAATACCCGAAGAAAGGAAAAAAGGTACCTGTTAAATAAACTTGAAAATAATGATAAATATTCCTAATTACCTTCATAAATTAATGAAGATTTTATTGTGGAAAATGACATAAATTCTAAATTGCAAAATGTGGTGTCAACTTAGCACGTTGCATTCTTTAAATTGGGGAAGTTAAGAAGTGATCCCTCAAACTGTTTAAGAGAAGTGTCAACATCGTTGGACTTTGGTGGAGGAAAAGTTTTTTGAGGCATCTCTGATGGCCAACTCGCATTCCACCGCCCTACTTGTGGATCCCAATTTTCTAGAGCGATTGCCCATTCTCATCAATAGGTGTGTACTAAGATTCTGATCGGTTCTACCTACCACTCCAGAGCCCAAGTAAGTAAGACAACAGCATGAAGGTCAAAGAAGACACCAAATTCACCTTATTTTCACATTGATTAGCCAGTGCTTCAGGGACGGGGAGACCCCAAAACCCGATATGGGCAAGAGTGAAGTGTAGTGAGCAATTTAATGCCAAAGTTGCCATGTGTTTTTCTAATCAAAGCGTAGGAAATATCTTCATTTGGCATGTTGATAACTAATAATGCAAAAAGACCCCCTTCTTCTACTTCTAGACAATAGTAACCGCCAAATGTCAGTGGAAATGATATGCTGATTGCATTGCCGAGACTTTATGTGAATGATTAGAAATAAAAAATCATCACTTACGAGGGTAATAATACCGCTGATATAGGAAATTGCACTGCAAAGATGAACAACGGTTGCGCATTGCAGAAAAAAGCAACTTTTTTTCTGATTTAAATCGAGGTCTATGTCGAACCGCTGACACAGCATGATTTAATTCGAAACCCATCTCAAGCATATATCAAATGGCAGGCTTTATGATAATTATCATTAGCCCATCTCAAATATGAATCAATATGTACAGTGTGAGATGAGAGGTGCTATTAACTGCAATCGAATGGTACTAATGCAAATCCCCTGGATAATCAAATCGAATAGTTGAACTTCAACTCCGAAATGTCGAGTTTTGTTGCAACCATGGATTACATGACGAAACCAGAAAACCAGAAGGTTGGATTTCTTTTGGGACAATATTTCTATTTACCATCAACCTCTATTCGACCTCCTTTACCAACCTTCAATTAATCGATTCGCGACATGAGTTGCCTACACAGCTTCAGGTTAAATCATGGTTCGCATCCAGTGAACTGCTCTATGGCAAAGTGAAATCAAGTTGTTTATACCCTCACTTCATTACATATTTCCTCTCGTTTCATACATTACCTTCCCGTTTTATTATTCCAAGTGATCAAATGCTTTTTCTTGGTTAAAAATAAAAGTTCTATTGCGAATAACATAAACATTAGATGCAATAAAGCCATTTATGATAGCCAAAGTACAGTTGGAAGGGTGATACCAGCCAACATTATTTCAATGTGTATAGGCAGACACCTGACGATCTTGCGCTTCGTATTTTTTCATGCATGAAGGAAGTGAGGCAACGGAGAGGGGTAGTAGATGTGACCCCATAAAATGGCAATGAAATGGATGCTAACTTGGCTGACCGATTCAAATTTTCTCCCCCCGAAGCTGCAAAGGCCTGCGTACTTGTGGAATTCAGGATAAATCAAATGAAATATCAGAAGGTATGCAATTAAGCTAGATATGGGGAAACAGATATGCCCACGTGGTATTTGTTGCAAAAAAACGCTTTTCAATCAATGACACTACGTCAACTTCTCCAAATTGGAAAACTGATTATCGTGAAAAGTGGGAATTCGTTCTCCTATAGCAAATACAATAAAGTGGCAATGGAAATTTAGGATAAGCAAAATAATAAATCTCTGCAATGGAGTTTGAAAGAATAATTTGCGTCAACCTGATTAGGGGAATGATAAAATAGAGAGTTCTGTTTTCTAGAAAACATCTAGGACATAGCTTCCATCTATAACGTAGAACACCAACGCCAGAAATTGAAACGCTGGTGCAGTAAATAGATTATTACATCCAAGTTAAGATGGAGCAACAAATTAAACCCGAAATTGTAATGAACTATTTTGAACTTGCATATTCTTATCCATTAGATGGTCTCTCCTCAAGAGCACTCAAACTGCTTCATTAACGCTATGGTA